ATATATATATATATATATATATGAGATATCTATAGAGATAAAAATAGAGGGAGAGAGAGATGATAAAGACATCTGTCTGTCTGTCTGTCTCAGATAGAGATCTATAGAAATAAAGATAGAGAGGAAGGTGATAGAGATCTATCTATATCTATCTATCTATCTATCTATCTATCTATCTATCTATCTATCTATCTATCTATCTATCTATCATCATATCTCTCTCTCTTTCTCTCTATCTTCTGTCATCTATCATCTATCTATCTATCTATCTATCTATCTATCTATCTATCTATCTATCTATCTATCTATCTATCTATCTATCTATCTATCTATCTATCTATCTATCTATCTATCTATCTACTATCATCTATCATCTATCTACCATCTATCTATCTTCTATCATCTGTCTATCATCTATCATCTATCTACCCTCTACCTATCTATCTTTCAGAAAGATTGATGCTGATATTTCCTGAATCCAATCCAACATGGACCACTGCACCATGCCCTCTAGAATTGGGGAAAGACTGAGCTGGATCACCCTAGGGAATATGAGATCCCTTTCCCAATCCCCTTTATAAACTCATCTTCCTTATCTACAGAAAGAAGGGAAAGAAGCAGAACAGTGGATTGAAAAAAGAAGGCGCAACAGAGACAGAAGGACACGAAGTCCTTTGGACGTAGACAGAGGCCACAAATCTTGAGCCAACCAACCAAAACCCACCTCTGGTTGGAAACAACGGGGACCCTCCAGCCTTTGACCTGATTCAGCTCCGTGTCCGACACATCAATCTGAAGAGGCAGGCGTGGGACCCAAACGGCCAGCCTCAAGGGGGCACTGAGATACTGGTACGTGAAGTTCACCACAGCGTTCACCTTTCCTTTCATCTCTTTGCCATTGACAAAAACGTAGTCGCATCGGTCGGACACCTAAGAAAAGAACGAAAACAGGAGGAGGTCAGGAAGGAATCAGGGGACGTCCTCGAGTGGGTCTGGCATGGATTGGAGGAGATCTTTGGGGCACATCTGGAATTTTGAGAGCCAGGGATGGGCCTTTGGACAAAATCATGGCCGTGATCAGACCACACCCATTTAGTTTTTGAGCCCTGGGCCCATTTAGTAAGGCTTTGGTGATGCTCAAATGATTTCACTGGAAATATACCTGATACAATGTGCATGATTAACCAATTGCAAGGTTATCTATCTATCTATCTATCTATCTATCTATCTATCTATCTATCTATCTATCTATCTATCTATCTATCTATCTATCTATCTATCTATC